AGTATCAGCACTGCCCACCTTGTCGAGGAGGAAGGTGGCGCACGCAACCGCTCTCCCGGGACGCCGGCAGCCGGAGGCTGAGCTCGCGGTACACAAGCTCGCGGTACACGGCGACGGCGGGGAAGCTCGGGGCGGCGGGGACCTCGGGGACGGTGGCCGGCTGCTCGGGGGCGGAGCTCGGGGACGGCGGCCGGCTGCTCGGGGACGGAGCTCGGGGCGCGGGGTCGGTGAGGCGGGGCTGGAGGTGGGAGGACGGGGCGGCGGAGGGCGGGCCGCACGGCGGCAGCGGCGGCTGCATCGTCGTGGCTGGCGTGGAGGAGCTCGGGCGGGCGCGGAGGAGCTCGGGCGGCGGCGGGGGTGGCGCTGGAGGAGCTCAAGAGGCTGGCGGGCTTGAGGAGCTTGGGGAGAGGTGGGGGCGGGTGGGTGTGAGGAGATAGGGTTTGGTTTGGGCGGTGGGCCTTTTTTTATTAAGGGCCTTTTGCCGAGTGCTCTGACCCCGGCACTTTCGGCAAAGGTGTATTTTATTTTTTAATAAAATCCTTTGCCGAGTGCCACGTGGGCCGGCACTCGGCAAAGTCCTCTTTGCCGAGTGCCAACCCTAGCACTCGGCAAAGTGTAATTTTTTTTTTGATTTTTCTTCCCAATTTTTTTGTGGGGCCTTAATACAGTAACTACATCTCAACTTCAAATTTTGGGACAATTTTGACTTTTTATGCTATATTTCTTCAATTATTTTTGTTTCGTTGAATTTTTCCGACAACTCCAAATTTGAACTGCAGGTACATGAAATAATGGAATTTGGTCATTCCAAGAATGGTAGTAATGATGTTCGGCATATGTTGAGGCCGTATCCAGGACCTCGCATGAAGTTACGACCATGTTAGTGTCGTAACATGACGAGTTACCTGCGGGAAAAGTGTTTTTAAATTATATAAAATCCAAACAAAGCCCGAAAATGACGAAACTTGTCGAGGTGTGTTGTCATCGCATGTGAAGGCTATGGTAAAAAATTGAGAAAGTGTCGAGCAAGTTGTGACGTCGGATGCCTAAAACCCACACATCTCCACATGTGTGATGTCGGATCACATGTAGCAACTAGTTCGGGAACCAGCAGTCCCGACGTATCTCGCCGTCGGTGGCCGGCGTCTTGACCCCGATCCTCCCAAGCTTGGTCATCGCCGCCACGAAATCGCCGAAGAAGGCACTCTGGTTGGACGCGCAGTAGTCGACCGTGCTGCGCGACCTCATGTCGGACTAGAGCACCTGGTCGGAGCCCACCGGCGAGGGGTCGAGGAAGGCGAAGATGTTGGGGTCGGAGCTGCAGGTGCCGTTCAGCTGCGACGCGAAGCCGGGGTCCATGGTCGCGTCGCTGCCGATCCTCACCGACAGCAACCGATCTCTGTCTGCGTCCAGGTCCTGCCGCGTCGTGGGACTTGGCGCGGCACTGCCGCGCCGTGGTTTATGGCGCGGTGGACCCTGCCACGTCACCGGTCAGCAGCCCCGGTCGTCGTCACGTCATCCTCTTGCCGCGCCACCATGTATGGCGCGGCACATGTGTTTCGTCGCGCCATGGCAATAGGCGCGGCCAAAAGTGTTAGTTTTAAAAAAATAAACAGTGTTAGATTTAAAATTAGTTTACAAAATATGTTAAAAAAATGTTGCTGGGCTTACGCGATTTTGTATGACAGGTAAGAAATGAAACGAGGGAGCAATGTTGTGGAAAGCTAAACAGGGTGACTGAGAATGGATAAGCCCCTGCCTGGTATACAATTAGATTCACACCATTATAAAGTTTACAGTTTTGAAATAAGCCACTACAATTCATAAAACTGGAAATATGCCATTATGGAGAAAACGCAGATAGAAAAATCATGAAATTCTGTACTACTACTCCCTCCAGTCATAAATAGATAACGTTTTTGGAGTGCAAAAAGTAATTAACTAATTACAAGACAAACTGTGGTATATGGTTCCAGTATATCATGGATTTTGTAATAATGGAATATTTTTAAACCTGTGAAGTTTATAATAATGGCATGAATCTCATTTATATAGATAGAAATCTAAACCGGCAACTGACACTACAGATGCAGTATCCGTCTGTTTCTTTTTCCTGTCCCCAAACAAGGAAGTGGACTGCAGAAAGCAGAGAAAGGCACTGCCGACTCGTCATCCTTCTTAAGATAACAAAACTAAACTGCCTAACAGAGGCAATTCGATGCAAAGCAAGTATACTTTAGCGGGCAGACATGTGGTGTGACGATTAAAAGTATATGAATGAATTGAGCAGGACGTGGCAGGGCAGGGCCCTAGGAGTGAGTAAGAAAGTTTGCAATTATGCAGCAAGGAAACCAACCAGGTGAAGAAGAAGAAACCTCAGAGACAGGGTAACTTGACTCACGGGCGGTGGATGTGGGAAACGAAAACCTACGGGAGGGAAATCAAAGCTCTCGTGAAATTAAAAATTGGGCATATTTTGGATAAACAGGGGGGAAATCCTCAGGCCTCAGCTCAGCCGCTGCAGCAGGACTCGGCTGAGCGCAGCAGCGCAAAGCCGCAATCGAGGCATCCAGCCCAGACCGGATTGATGGAGTTTCCCTCGGAATCCAGGCCGGGGCCTGGAAGAGGGCCACCCAGGCCTCACTCATCAACTTCTCAAATCTCAACGCATGGCGCCTTGGTCTGGATTGGACAAGAAATTCTTTAATTCTTTATTATACCTTTATTTATCAGATTAGATTAAATACTTTTTTACATTTTAATATGATTAATATTAATATATATTATAAATATTTATTTTCCTACAAATTTAATTAAAATTTAAAATTAACCGGCGATATTAGACATAGAATTGCATCATTTTCCTTTTCGGATGGAGGCACTAATCACAACCGTCTGAGTCTGACTGTGGGCCTGCTTGGAACGGGCCCAGCCAGTGAGCTTCGGCGAGTACTTGCCCACAACAGCTTCTTACAGTCTACCGAAATCTGTAAAATCTCATGCCGCTTATGCTGGTGGTTCTTGCCCACAACAGGGCATTCACACTGTTCTGAGCTGTCATATCATAAAAAGGAGTTATGTGGACTCGGTTCTGATCGTTCAGGATAGCAATGGATCAAGGAGGTCTCCTAAGAAAGTCTTGCCCAGAGTACAGACCATCAAAACTCTAGAAGAGCTGAACTGTGCAGTTGCAAAATTCAAAAATGGTGATCCAGTTCATCTGATAGACATTTCAGAACATGATGTTCCTCTTGATTTAGCACTAGATTTTTGGAAGCTTTTGTTAGTAGAGGGAGCAACAGCATTGGTGTAGAGAGATTCAAATCTTTGCCAGACAATACGATAGCACATTGTAAATATGATAAATAAAAACATCAAATGTATTTCTCAATAGTTTTTCAATGTTTTTATATGTGTATTTAGTATCCGTAACAAAAAAAAACACAATATTATCATAAAAGATAGATGAAATAATAACTTTTTGTGATGCACAATTGAAATTTTTACATGAATTAATTCTTTTTCCTTGTGTTGAGATTGGGGGCACGGCCCCTGCTGGCCCCTGGTTCGGCCAGTGAGGCTAGCTGGTACATGTACGTACGTGTCACGCATCTATTTTACACCTTGCATAGTGAAAAACTTGGACCCTCATATGCAACTTTAAAGTCAAATAAGTTTGATTTAACTACTATGGATTGTAATATCATTCTTCTGAATTTAGGACATGCTTGGGACTACTTCACTCTAGGCTTTGCAGCTCCACTCCACCAACTCTACTATGGAGCCGTTCTACTGTAGAGTTCGTGGAGCAGGTGGTACTGTTTGGCACACAACCTAGCTCACCTAGCTCCAGTTCCAAGAATGGGTTGTTTCCTAGCAAATGGTCTATTATGCTCCTAATTTACGTTTGTTTATTCAAGCAGTACTAACATGTGGAAATTGAATTTTTGCAGCAGTAAAAAACTGTGTCTGAGAATTATGAAAGCTCACCGAATTAAAATGTGGAAATTGAATTTTTGCAGCAGTAAAAAACTAGCAATTTCAGTCACAACTTTAATCTCTATAACTGTATAAAGTATCCAACTCTCTAGCAATTTGAGCCGCTCCAACGCACGGTGCTTGCTTGCCTGCGAGGAGACGCGGCTCTGACCTGCTTGCTTCCCGCCTCCGCTAAGAATTGAGACGCGTGACAGCGTGAGCGCCGCCGCCGACCGAGCTGTTGCAGAGCAGGAACCGCCATCGCCGCTCGAGCTGGAGCAGATGGACTAGTGATTAACGAGCGGCAAGGTGGATAGTTATCCTTAACACCACGTGGAAGTACAAAACTCCAAAAATTAGAGTATTCCTTGAGGTGTTTCAGAAAAAACGAGAAGTTGGTCTTCAACTCCACCTTTTTTAGCGGAGTTCTTGGAGCCGAAGGTGTTTGACAGCGTAGAGCTGAAGCGGAGCTACAAAAACGAGAGCGGAGCAGTCCCAAACACCCTCTTAGAATATTTTTCTTATGAAGGCAGAACATTATTTTTCTCAACCTAGAACATTGTGTCCCTTTAAGAATTTTGATTTTCCTAGATTTTATTCCCCTAGAGCAAAATTTTATTTATATTCTTTCTTTCTTTTGTCTTACTTTTTACTCCAGTAGGGCAGGAATATAATTATTCAAAAGGAAATTGAAGACTGCCTTAGTTTGGCATCGACAGAAATTGCATGGCTACATGACGTCACATTACATTTGCAAGAAGTCATAATTATTAAATAAGAAAAAAGATCCAATTGTTACAATGATCGAAATAAAAGACCAACCGCCCGTGTTATTTGCACGAGTCAAATTATTAGTTTGGTTACATGAGACATGGATCATGGATTGAGCTGGTAACGACAGTATAAAACAACAACAGCAACAACAAGAACAATTAATCACTAACAACAATATTAGCATATATAGTTGCATGCACAGACAGTGTTGGGACACCGAATGAAGATGATGGATCGACCGGATGGATCTACCTTAACCTGGCCCATTTCCGAACTGCTGGGACACCGAAGATGAGTAAGAAGGACCAATAATGCTCCAAAACATAAAGAATCCAGCCAAGCAGAGCCTCCAGTGTCGACCGTTTCTGGCTTCTTGCAACTATAAAAGAGGGCGCCATAGAATCCAGGATGCCATCAGATATCCCCATGGGCATAGTTGCAGCAATAATAATAGGGACAAGGATGGGAAGCGTGCGAGCAACTGGGAACAGCACGACGTAGATCCCCAGGGCAAACGCGGCCATCAAGCTCCTGCCAGAATTCATCATCATGCTGTACGCAATGTTGATGCTGCTGAAGCGGCTGGAGAGGTTCCCGGCAGGCACGCCGGCGAAGACCAGGACGACGGTAGCTGTAAAAGAGCAGATAAACGCCAGGACAATGGAGAGGATAAACGCATCGAAAGCGTAGCTTCCAGCAAGCACCGGCGTGCCGGCGACACCACCGGCGTCGTTGCCGCCGCCGCCGTCTGACCGGTAGCCTCCAGGCAATGTAAAAGCCGATGCGAATGTCACGGTGGTAACGAGGACGGAGACAATGCCCAGGACTTGCGCTGCATTTGTTAGATTCTCCGAGACCTTGCTCTCGTCGTCTCCCTTGGGGCGGACATTCTCATACAAGAGGTCGGCCCGAAGCTCACCATACGGAGCTCCCGTTTGTAGTAGTAATTTCCGGATGCGTGTGCATGGATCCTGTGCCAGAATATATATATATATATATTTATTTATTTATCGATGACGATAATTTATTTTTTTAAAGGACTGTAAAAGCTTTGCTGCTGTTTTTATTAGACGATAAAAAATAAAAAAGAACTGCACAAGAAATTACAAGAGAGCAGTGATGAATGATGATGATAATTAATGATGGTGATAAAATAATTTAAACATCCAACAATATCCTACTACGTATACGTATAGGAGGAGGTAGCTAGCATGCACTTACCCATGCATAGTAAATGTTGGAAGGCATCTTGCTCCATGTAAGATCTATAGGCCTGGCGCCCTCATTATTCAGTACATCCAAGCGTACGTGATCATTCCGAATCAGACGGCTGCACACCGCAACCCTCTCGGCGCGGACAGCGAGGTGTAGCGCAGTGTCCCCGTTGTTGTCCTGCACATTCAGTATCCAAGACAAGCCTGGGTCATGGCAGACATCATGAACCACGAACCACCTCCCTTTGTCAGCAGCGGCATGGAGGAAAGTTCTTCCCTGCGCATCTCGCAGCGTGGCGCAGTCCGGACACCTCTTGAGCAGCGCCGATACGTTCCTCCAGCTGCCGGCCGAGGCGGCGACGTGTATCGGGTACAGCCCTGCTTCCAGCTTGTCCGGCTGGTACACCGTCGACACGTTAGCGTCTACTAGTAGCATCATCATCTTTTCACCGGCGACATTTGTCGACAGCGGCTGCCAAAGTCGTCGTCCGAAACGTGTGGAAACGAGCACTGCCGAGTTCCACCCACCCTGCGATGCAGCCAAGTGAAGAGGGCTGCTCCCGGTCCTTTTGTCCCTCTCGCTAGTCAGCTGCGACAGGAGAGTATCTGCTGCCGTTGCCGATGAACTACAACAACTCTTCTTCTTCGCTTGCTTGAGCCATTCCAAAACCATAGGCAGCGCTGCATGCATGCATGCGACTAATTAGTCAAACTAGCTATTATTATTATATATATATATATATATATATATATATATATATATATATACACACACACTTCTCCAATATTTCAGATGCCTGAATTTTAAGATGATTTCAGACAACACTCTTGTAGCACCAACTATTACAAGTAAATTGTTACGTTTGTGTTTTTTTATTTGTCTTTTGTATCATAACATATCAAAATTTTGTCCTTGTCTAACTATAGAAGCAATTGTAAATTGTTAATTATCTTTGTGCCAGTATAGATAAGATTTTATCGAGTTCGTGGTTTTTTGTAACATGTTTTTATTCTTGGAATAAAAAAATTTATAGATTATACCTACATAAATGCTACAAACTAAAGCTACAATTTTAGTATAAAATATATGGAATAACCGTCTCCTGAAAGAAAGCTATGAATTTTAGCAAGTCCCATATCATATTGATGATGAGCATCATTACATACACTGGCACATCAGCATGGCTACTTAGAATATACGTAATTAACATCATGTTATAAATATTATTTTTTGGGGATAAATTTAGTACAACACAACCAATCAAATTTTATTATATATGTTAACTCTCCCCTCTCTCCCTCCCTTGATTTCCTAACATAATACCTTGCTACTTATAAATCTATAACCGGTCATCATATTAACTAATTACTCTAAATGTGTTTTCATCCTTTGCGTTTCACCTCAGTGGGTTTTTCATATGTATTTAGTATAAACCTTAGCCAAAGTTATATCAGCACTTGAGTTGTTGTGTTCTTTCTGTAACATCATGAATCTATATTTCATTTTTAGATTTTGATCAAATTAGTTTGTTGCATTTTTCTATCCATGCCTTAAGTTCAAACTCTAGTCCTTATTATATATTTTATTCAAGAATTTTCCTTGTATATACATATATTAATAATGGATTATAGGTCTCAGACTCTACTCTTAGTTACTTACAATGGTATCAACAATCATTTTATCTGCACCATGGCAATCAAGATGTTAAATTTTCTCTATCAAAGCATTATAGTTGTAGTAGTGTTGTTTTATAAAATATTATAGTGGCTGCCATTAAACTACCCATATCAATATGTCATAATGTTTCACTCAAACTGGGTAAACTTATCTAAAGTAAAAAAAAAACTTACCTAAGATACTTTCACTGAGTTTTACTATATTTATCTTAGAACAAATTGTTAGTGTCATTGATATGTGGTTTGTTAAGGGAACATTTTTTTGTTCATGCATATGATCAACAAACTATGAAATATATATTTGCCGCACCAGCGTATGCATGTATACTTGGTCTACATGGTGTCACAAATAGAATTTATGCTTACTTTTAATTTAAAAGTGGTATTATAAGTGTGTAATTTAGAACATGTACTTTATGATTATTCATTTTTTTATAATAGCTTATATTACTATTTAGATGTAGATTTGAGGGATATTCTAGTTTTTTCTTATAACGACATAGGTGGATAATTTAGATACAAATTAAATGGGTTTACCTTATATTATATTTCATAATAGCATGTGTGGATATTTTTTTTAAAAAAAAGAGGGGCTACTTTGCATCATATATCATAATGACAGATGACAGAGGTGGGTAATTTTTTAGCAACAGAGGTGGGTAATTTAGATGCTAATAATTTAGGGGTTAACTTGATGTATTTTTTTTATAATGTCAGATGTGGTTAAATTTGAAAACAAAGTATATCTGATGGCTACTATATATTGACGATGATGGTTAGAGTTTACCAAATTAATGGCAAGCTATTTCCTATATACTTTCTATGGAAGCTCCATTGAGATCCTTTAATTAGTAATACTAAAATAATAAAAAAAAGTATATTTTTAAGAATCTACCTCTTTGATGTTGTAAATGGTAATACATACTGTTCTATATAAACTTGTTAAACTTAGGATAATTTAGCTTGTAACAAATTCAGATCCATTACGTACATTAGGTAGTAATTCAAAATGCATGCAGCAAAGTAAAAATATGTATAGTAGCCTTAGAGCTTACGTATGGCATTTTACCTTGTTGCCCTAGAGAAACAGCTGCGTGCAAGACGTTTCGTCCGTCTGGTCCGGAGTACGACAGCTTGCCTCTACTCTTGCCATACAGATGACGTGCAATCTCCAGTTCACCCACTGAGATGGCCAAGTATAATGGGGAAGCACCATCCTCACGTGGAATGCAGGCTAGCTCTGAATCCACGTCCATGAGATGGTCGATGCACGCCTCCTTGTTCTTAGCAGCGTGGACCGCCTGGTGCAAGGCGGTTTCCCCACAATTGTTCTGCATTTCCAGGAACGCCTTCACCGCCGCCTCGTCGGCAGCGTTGGCCAGCAGATCGACGAGGCAAGAGATCATGTTGGCGTTCCCGGCAGCTGCGGCACAGTGCAAGGGCGTGTCACCCTTGCGGTTGCGCGCTTCCAGTGCTAGGCACGCCGCAGCAGCACCGCCCTTGTGCCTGTAATCGTGGACGATCGTCTTGGCGCAGCGGAGGAAGTCCTCGCCGTCGCCGCATGCTGCAACCACGTGCAGCAGAGTGTCCCCCTCCAAGGTCACCCCATCAGCAAGTGGCGGGGGCAAGGCCGCCAATCTGGAGGAGGTGGGTGGCGGCGGCGGCAAAGCAGCAGGAGCAGGAGAACGACGCCGAGGGACGACGTCCACGATGACTACCTCTGATGATGATGATGCCGCCGCCTCCGCCATGCCATGCGCATGCTCCTCGTCCTTCTTCAGCTGCAGCAGCTCCTTGAGCAGCTCGCTGTCGCCGCGGCGAGCAGCCATCGACAGCTGGGGATCTAGTAGTTTGGCCGCTGGTAGTGGCCTTGCATTATCATGATCACTTGCAGCAGCTGCTCCTTGGGTGGTTTCGTTTTCAGCTACGACGACAGCCATCATATCTACCACTGGTAGGCGAGACGGTTGCTTTGCTTTAGGGCTGGTTTAGTTCGCGAAATTTGGATTTTGGGGCTACTGTAGCACCTTCGTTTTTATTTGACAAATAGTGTCCAAACATTGACTAATTAGGCTTAAAACGTTCGTCTCGCAATTTCCCACCAAACTGTGCAATTAGTTTTTCTTTTCGTCTACATTTAATGCTCCATACACGGGCCGCAAACATTCGATGTGACAGGTACTGTAGCAACTTTTTAGATTTTGGGGGTGAACTAAACAAGGGCTTAATTAGTTTGTTGGTTGGCTGTGGGTGGTGCATATATATTGCCACCAGCTGCTAGCTAGCTGTGTGTGTGTCTATATATATAGAGAGAGAACCTCGTCCATGCATCCAAATCGCTGCAGTATATAATAATATTCTTTGGCGGCCAGCAGCACGCAAAGGCGGCATTATGCATGCATGCATATGGCAAAGAGAATCTAAAGCAAAAGTTCAAAGGTGCACGTGCGGACAGGTCACGATTTTGGTCTGGCACGAGAAGGCACAAAATCCAACGATTTTGGTTATTATAAACGGCAGCTTTAATTTTCCAAGTTTTTGCCATAGTTCAAAAAATGTCAATTTTTTTTTAGCAAGGATCAATCGATAAAAAAAGAGGAAATTGTACCGATACCCTAAATCTTGTTTGCATCGATCTTTATCAACTATACACCCTTCTTGATCACATTTTGTGTTTTTTTTGGGTGTTTATTCATTTGTGACTTTCCGCTCATTACATATATAACCATGCTAAGTAGTACTTCTCAAGATTTGAAATACTATAGAAAATTAGAGTATTTTAAATGTCGTCTTTTCACTCAACCTCCGTCGTCTCTTCGAAATGAACTAGTGTGCGTGTGTTATCGTAACTCAAATTAAGTGGCTACAGAATAAGTTATTTTTATAACCAGCTACAAGATAGTTAGTATATACACACAGCAGATAAAAGGATGGACTGTCCTAGGGACGAATTTCCCTTTATCTTTATTAGCTGTTTTCAAGTTTCAGCACCCCAACTACAAATCCAAAAGGATAATATTCTTTTCCTCAGGCAACAAGCAAAGATGGCAAGGAAAACTTTAAAAAAGGGTACACATACCCATTACACATGGTATGTACAAAAGTATCGTTCAATCTCATACTACGTACGTAAACTCCATGCTAATGAAATTAATGTTAACTGCTACTATTTCCACCACTCACAGCCACTATATTGCTCCCTCTTTTCACCGAATACACTTAGGGTTGGTAGAGCACTCAAGAGCATCTTTATATCCTTTCGTATTAAAAAATAGAGATTTTGGTATAAAAAGAGACCCTCAAACATCAGTTTCTTCAATTAGATCTCTAAATTGTCATCTTCCATTCTCGATTTCTTGGTTGCTCACTAGCTAAAGCTGGAGAGGCGGGCTAGCTCTCCAAAGTGTTGATGTAGGAGTGCGAAAGGTATATGTCGGGTTCATAAACCCGGGGTCCCTCATGGACCGGCTTCCCTGCAAAGATTCGGCCCAGCAGACGAATGCTGCGAACGAACGCGCAGCTCTTGGGCCGGCCCAAGAGCCTAAACGACAGACCAAAAGGGCAATCCAATCTCCGACCGGAAGGCCTGACCGAGGAGGAACGACGCCTGCTTCCGACTCCGGCCCACTTCTCCGACCGGAGCGCTTGCTTCGGTCTCCAGCCCACCTCCGGATGGCCTCTCCGACCGGAAGGCCTGGCCCGAACACCGCTTCCGACTCCGGCCCGCGTCTCCGATCAGGGATGCGCCAAACCCCTGCTCACTACTCTTCTCCAACCGGCGCGATCAGAGTCGACTGGAACCAACCGACCGGGGACGCCCGCTCGGCAAGGACCAAGGAACAGACGGAGGAAGTAAGGTAGGGCACACGGGTCAAACCGCAATATCGAGGACCGTACCCTGTACACCTGCAGAAAACAGTACTCTGCAACCTCCCTGGCACGACAGAACCCAAGCAGTGTTGTAGGCGCCAATATTTTCCCCTACAGTATTGCGGGCGCCATTAACTCCTATACGGTAAGGCTCCCCCACACGCCTCTGGGCATCGACAGTGTTGTGGGCGCCGGCATTTACCGTACCAGGCGAACATGGTAAAACCCCTTGCATGCCTCCAGGTATCAACAGTGTGGTAGACGCCGACGTCTGCCATACCCACAGAAGACAACACAACCTCCCACGTGCATCTGACATTCAACAGTATTGTGGGCGCCTACCATCATCATGTACCCACCGGCGTGGGCAATAAGGCTTAGTAGCATACGTACTCTCTCCCTCTCACCTGTAAAGCCATCCCCTTCATCTATAAAAGGGGATGCGCTCTCTCCCAACAGATAAGTGGATTCAGATTGATTCGGATCGATCAAGTTCACTAGTACACAACAGTAGAACCACCAGGTTCAAACCACGAGCACACGCTCGAACGCTTAGCTCATAGCGGGCTCCCGTCACTCTCAGCCCTTTCGACCGAAGTCCGACTAGACCTCTTGTACCCCCTATCTTCTTCCTTCTTGTTTATAACCCCACTGCAAACTTCGAGCACCTGGGCTCAGGAATAAAGTCACCGACCGACTCAAACTGGACGTAGGGCACGCTGCCTGAACCAGTATAAACCCTGTGTCATTGAGTGCTAGGCCACCTCCGATCACAACGTACGGCAAAACTACAAATATTTACGTGTTGGTCACTTTCTACACCGACAGTTGGCGCCGTTCGTGGGGAAGACATTGTACGTTCAACACTTTTTAGTCATCGGATGTACCACTTTTCCACCACCTTCGCCATGGCAGGCTCAAGCGATACTACTCGCTTTGGCTCACAGGAGTTTCCCGCACTCCCATCTGTTGGGATGTGGGTTCCACCCGTCTCCAAGCCGTCCTAGGCCTTCCTCTCTAGAAGCCTGGACTTCATCGCTGACCGGCTCGGCGTACTACACCTCCGCGAGGAGGCACTTGTTCTGGCGCCCGTCGGAGGGGCACCCTCCATCGGCTCCGGGACGCACGACGACTTCAACGACGAGGCATCTGTGCTTCATTCCGAGCAAACTCTCTACTCAAATCCCGCTATGAGTAACATACATACTGTTATTTACTTGATATTCTCTATCTTCCACCGATTATCCAGAGGGATCCCATTGTCCCCGCCGCGACCGCCACGTGACCGGTTCCCCTATGGCCTCGCGTCCCCCGTGGATGCGTACGCCCGGGGGCTCCGAAGGATGCCGACGCCGCCCCCTCTCATGTCTGAATTCATGGGGATGGCGAGCTATCCTCCCACCTATTTCCTCGACCTCATGGATGACGATGTTGAGAGTGACGGCTCCAGTATCGGCGATGTGGCACCTAGGCGCCGTCCGTCCTGGGAGTGCGCTATGGCGGATGCTCCGGGATAGCCACCGGTGGTAACAGAGTCCTTGTAGACTCACACCCCTCCGAGCCCTCGTACGGAGACCCCCGCGCTCACATGGGAGCACGGTGAGGGGCTACGACAACAGCGGCTGAACCAGTTGTCTACTACGCCAGCGCGCTTGGCGCACCACACCACGCCCCATACGCATAAACCGGCGAGTGGCGCCCGGGGTCGCGCCCGTCGGTTCCAGCACAACACCATGGACGGGGAGAATGATCCCCCACAGTTTGCTCGGGCCAATCAGAACATCGCCGCTGCGGCAATGCTTCTGCGCGGCTTTCCTGAGCCGAACGACCCCCAGGAACAGGCGATCCACCAAAACCTCCGGTCACTGGTGGAGACCACCGCCGTTCAATAGGGGAGTGACACCGACTCGTGGCCTCTCTCCCCACCAGGGGAGTGGGGACGCACCAGACGAATCGCTCTACCCGCTCACCGCTACAGCTGCCGAGCGCGGCACAGGAGGCCGCATCTGTACCTCGTCTTGACTTAGTGACCGCGTCGCATCGACCGCATGTACACGAGCGGCTTAGGCCGAACCAAGATGCTTGAAGCGTCATCAGCACCCAGAGTCCTAGCCTAGATGGCCCGGGACCACGGGCCTTTATTCGGCGCATCCAGAAAGCGCCGCTCCCGCATCGCTCCAACGGAGGCCGAGGCAAAGGCAAGGCCAAGCGCCAGGATCAGGACGAGGGCCCCTTCACATAGAGGAGAAAAAGAACAAAAAAGATCGTCGCTGACCGGCCAACTCCGTGTTGGTTGTCATGGCTGATCACACGGGCAAGCAGCCCTAGTAGGACCTTCTGGGCCACTTCCATGAGCTCATGGAGAACCCATGCACCAACCACGTCTACCCCGTCAAACACCTCTACAAGGTCTGCGAGTTTCTCAAGCGCCTTCTGTGACAGGCCGATGGGGCAAAGGAAGAAAAAGGCGAAGAAGCAGCGGCCAAAAAAGGGGACGTAGCAGACAAGGATCTGGACGACTAAAGGTCAAGGTGATCAAACCGGACGCCTACCGACTGAGGGACGACGACGACGACATTCTCACCAACGCTTGGAACAACTATATCGTTTCTTCCCCTAAAATTCAGTCTTACCATTGTTTACTTAAACGTTTGCTCCTATAAAAGCGCCCTGACCCAAACACTTTTGGCCCCGGTCGCTCGGGGGCTCCATGAGGGTGCACTACTACCTCTCTTTTCGTTTACTATCATATGGTGAAACTCCTTCCTACCCAAAAACAAAAGGGTAGTTCGTTCCTTTAAATTGCCTTACATAGCTTTACTTTAAAATATTCTGACCGATCGCACCCCGCCTCTACCTATGGTTATAAGCAGCTGATCCTCGCGGGCCATGCCCTGGGCTCCTAAGGTTGCAGCCTATGGGACGAATGGGCAGGTATGAAAAAGAAAGAATAAAAAACAAAATTATGCTAAGGTAAGACTAAGGAATGAAAGGGACAAGCTTCCCCTAACGGGGTGACTCCATCACAAAAAACGAAACCGATTGTAGTCATTGAGTACACAAGAACGTT